TATCTTATGAATATTTTCAGACTCCCCAGGGAACTAGTTGGAATCACCACTTTTTTAAATTATTATTTTCCATTGTTTTGTGTTATTTTGTTTGGTTTCTTTAAGGTGATTAGATCTTACTCCTTTTCCCTAGTTTTTCTTGTGGTCATGTTACTAATTTTGTGATTTTCATTTTCCCAAATTTACATCCAAATAGTATAAATTACACTGCATCTCATAAATTTTGATTAGTTTCATTTAACTAAAAATATTTTCAAGTTTCACTTGCAAACTCTTTGGTCTTTTATAGATTTGATATTTATTATGTATTTTTTTTGGAAATTTTCCTACTGTGCTTCAGTAAAGATCTCTAATTTAAAGCTATTATATTGAAAGTGATTACTTGCATGATTTTATTCTTTTGAATGTGTTGTTTGATGGCTCAGAATATGGCCTATATTAAAGAACGTTGCATTTGCTCTGAACAGAATGTGCATTAGGCTCTTAGATGTGGCACTTTGTAAGAGTACATAGGACAGCACTGATGGACAGTGCTATGTAAGTCTTCTGTAATCTTTTTTTTAATCTCCCATCTACTTACTGACAGAGATATTGAAGTGTTCAGCTATCATAGTGAATTTGTTGATTTTTTTCTTGTGATTTTTATCAGTTTTTCCTGAAACATTCTATTAGTCAGTTGTAAAGTACTGTACTTTTAGGATTGCTGGGTTTCTTGAAAAACAAAAGACCCTCCTATATTAAATATTCCTTTTGTCTCTCATAATCATCCTAGTACAAGTTGGCCTCTTATGAAATTACCATAAATATTTGACTCATGTTGGTATTGCATGCTGTTCACTGACTCTTGACATTGAAGTAGATGCATGTTTGTGTTTAAAGACAGTTTCTTTTTCTTTAAAAAGAAAGTTTTGTTTTCACTTTACATACCAATCCCAGCTCCCCCTCCCTCCCCTTCTTCATCCCCTTCCACCTTCCCTTCCCATCCCCCAGACAGGGTAAGACCTCCCTTGGGGAGTCAACAACTTAGTCTGGCACACTAAGTTGAGGCAGGACCAAGCCCCTCCCCCTTGTGTCAAGGCTGAACAAGATACCCCACCCTTGAGAATGTTTTCTGAAAAGCCATTTCATGCACTCAGGGTCAGTCCTGGTCTCACCACCAGAGGCTCTCCAAACAGATATAGCCACATAACTGTCACCCACATTCAGAGGGTCTAGTCTGATCCCAGCTGACAGGGCAGAGTAAAAACAGTTTCTTAAAGCAATGTATAGGTGAATCTTTAAAAAAACAGTGGAACAATCTTTATTTTCTAATTGGTATATTTAAACTACTCAAGAGAAAGAAGTTTTCTTACATAGTTTATATGTTTATAATTATTTTCTACTTCTGTACTTATTTGATTCTTTCAAATCTTATCTTTTTCTTTCATTCTATTCTCAGGTTTCAACTGGAAATTTCTATGTAATTCTACTTTCTTTCTGAGTGTATCTCCCAGAGATGGTCAAGGCTCCTTTTCATCTCACCTTTCCCTCTTTTACCTCCTCCCTTATTTTCTTCATTCCCTTTCTCCTCTGTCTAGCTCTGCTTTCTTTCTCTCTCTCTGTGTCCCTTTACTTCCTTCCATCTTCCTCTCTCTGTATTTATAGAATTTATATGTTCTAAGAACTTAGTGGTTCTCTGTTAATGCCTTTTCATAATTTTGGCAAATTCATTGATACTTCTATTTCAAATATTGTTACTTCATTCTCTTTTTAGTCCTCTTTAGAGCTTCAGATTATGTCTGTGTTACACCTGTTGAAATTATTCCACTGTTCTTAATGTTTTGTGCTTTTCTACCTGCTTAGGTTTTACTTTAAGAACTTTATATACATGACTAACATTCACATTAACTCTTTTCTCTTCATGTCAAGTTCTGAAGATCCCATAAAATACAGTTTTCCCATCTGTAAATCTTTTTTTGTTAACAAGTTACTGGTTTGTAGATTAATCCCAATCTCACTAGGGATCAGGCTATGTTTGGAGTCTGTTATAACTGTGGGTGCTAAATTCCTTCAAATTCTTTACTTTCCTTGGGATTTTATTATTGTTGCTTGATTTGATTTTTTTTTTGTTGTTGTTTTTGAGACATGATATCATGTATAACAGGCTGGATTTGAACTTACCATGTCGCCAGGGATGACCTTGAAGTTTTGATCCTCCTATCTCTGCTTCCTTAGTGCTTGAATTACAGGTAAACAGATGTGTGACTCTTTTGTGCAGTGATGAGGATCAAACTCAGGTGTTTTCTCCACAATAAGCAATAACTCCACAAACGAGCTGCATTCACTTCCTGCCCTGCCCTAACTTTCTGATGCTTCCACTAGGAAGAGTAGATGCAGGTGTTTGTCCTTTCTGACTTTGTGTGGTCTATGCTGCATTTTAAATCATTTTAGTGAATGCCATAACATTTAGGGTATACATAAATTGAGCATGAACTTATTTTAAAAAATAACTATAACATTATGAGAGGAAAATCTGAAGGTCAATTTAAATCATACTTTTTCAGATTTCCTGATTATGCTTAAGTTACCTTTAAAATTCATAAAACTTTGCAAATCCAAAAGAAGCAAAAGGTTAGAGGGATATTTTGTGTGAAAGTACACAAAGATCATATGTAGGTCTACCCAATTAGCTAATACTGGAGCATATGAACTGTCAGTCGGGCTGATTCATCACTGAGGTTAGCTTGAAGCACCAAATTTTGAGAACTTTTTTTTTTAAACTGCCAAAATAAAACAAAATTGAAATGTCAGGAAGTGGTTTTCAACATTAGTTTTGCTTGGTTGGATAAAATTTTAAAAGTTGCAAAATGTAAATGAGGAATAGAAGACTTTATGGTGAGAAGAGCCAAGAAAGAAGCATGGTCAAGGATTTTGCAAGTGTGTATATATAATCATTAGTTTTCTTAGGAAAAACAGGAAAAGCAAGGGCAAATCAAAAGAAGGTAGAGAGCTTTTGTAGCCCTTGTGTGTTATTTGTGAGCAGAACCTCCTTTTTATGAATATAATTTTAACAAGGTATGGAACCAAGTCTGTAGACTTGCCATAGAGATTTTTTCACTATATATGGCTATGTTTAAGGATATTTCAAAAATTTAATAAGTAGGTCACTGAATAATTATTTCTTATGCTGTAACCTACATAAGAGAAGCAACATTCAAATGGATTATTCCATTAGGTTACACTAAAAAGTAGCCAACATTCTGTAATTGCCCATCATGTGTTACTCTCTCTTCATTTTAGGAAAAAGCCTTAGTATTAGTAATCAAGGAGTAAGAATCACACATCATCAGGGAAATATTGTCTAGGAATTCCAACAGACTGAATGTTCTTTAACTCACTACTCAGTAGCAATAATATGAACTATTTGAGAGTATGCCGTGTTCTGATGTACTAGAAATTATACTGTAAGTCTTAGAGTTTCTGATTTACTTATTATAAACATAGAAATAAGATGCCATTTTATGCTTTTGTAATCTCTTAAATACCTAGGCCTTTTGATATTTCCTCTGGAGAGTTAGGAAAGGCAATGTTACATGAAGTGTTGAGTTATAATTTGTTCACAAATGAAGTGAACATTTCATATTGTATTCAATGCAATGATAATGTTACCTGAGGTGTTAAAGATTACCAAAAACAGATTGATGTCAGAACATATCAAAAATAGCAATGGACATTCTTTCACATTCAACATTATTCATACAGTTTATAAATTCTACATATAAAAGTCCTACTGCTGCTAACACTTCCCAGAAAAGTCCCTTAATGGTCCATGAGATTTTCAATTTAGAATATCATTCCTTTCCACCATTGAAGACGTGGGTCAGATATTGGGTAGAAGTGCTTAGGAAGAAAGTTTACTAAAACATGCAAAATAACATTGTTCTTTCCATTACAGAACTGAAAATGAGATGATTTCCTTAGAGTGAGTGAAATAGGTTATTTCTAGGTAATGGCCTTAATACACTATACTTAGCTCTCTGAAATGTAATTAGATTTGTTTAAAAAAGTTGCAAACCTCACAAACAGCAGGCTATCCAAAAATAACACTTTATATATATATATTGGAACTAAGGAGGAATGTGTAAAGCCAATGGTACTCCAGGGACACTCAGTGAATAAGACAAGATTAAGCTACCTGCCTCCTGACTTCTAGGTGATGTACTCTGGAAAAGTGTTATCACAGTGTATTTTTGAGCTCTGGCTCTGAGAAGATTCAATTAAGGCTTTTTAGATTGGAGTTTGAAACAACTATTTTTCCAATTTATTACCTTACAACTAGAGTTTACATGTATTCAGAGGAATTTTGATATATAGAGTAGGTCTCTATAATTGTCACATATATAGAGAGTAATGAATGATGATGGAAACTCTTCATGAAGACATTTCTGATTTTGTCAAAGATAAAGTTGAAGATTTAAAAAATATATATGAATTAACATTCCAATAGTGAGAGATGATTTTTGTGTTATTATTTGCTTTTGTTTCCTGACAATTATTTGTGAATGAAAAAAGCAGTCTGTTCAGTGAAAGAGAGGAGGCAGAGGAAAAGAAAGTAAAGGATGAGGAAAAAAAGTAGGAGGAGGAATGAATAGGAGAGTAAGGAATAGAAAGGGGGAGGAGGAGTGGGAGGCAGAGGACCTGGGGGAAGGGGGAGGAGGAGAGGGAGGAAGAAGAGGAGGAGGAAGAAGAGGAGAGGGAAGAGGAGGAAGAAAAGGACTGGAAGGAAGGGGGAAGAGGAGGGGAAGCAAGAGGAAAATGGGGAGGAAGAGGTGGGGAGGGAGGAGATGCATTTATCGATGTTTTGAGAAAGTTGACTTTTAGGAATCTGATCAAGATGACCTCTTGCTTTCCTTATTTCCTTATTTTTAACCATTCTGTGATCTAAGTACGGCTTTGCTGTCAGAACCAATCCCTAATATTGGCACATACCAAAAGGAATTAAAAGGAGGAAAGAACAAAGATCAGAAGATATTGCATGTCCTTTATTTGTATTTTGGAGGTAGCAAGAACTCAGTAAGCATTTAGTGATTGACTGGACTTTGAGATCATACTCAGCATAAATCAGTAGCCGGATATTCTAAAATGCCTAAATAATAGGACAATTCACATTTTCATAAATGTTAGATATTCTAGCCAGTTCTTGCTCAAACATTTATTTTAATAAGTCACCATATGGATACCAAAATTAGATCAATTTATCTAACATATTTTTTTGAGTAACTTGGAAACAGACAAAGCTGGTTTGTTTGTATGTTACAAAAATAGCAGAGGAATTGCTTCAGGGCTGTGCCCTGTGGCAAGTATTCATTAAATATTGTCTTTGATGTCAGCTCTAAGCTTATATAAACCATTACATTCTTCATAAAGATACTTTCCCCAGAAAAAATAAATAGTCCCCATGATCTTAATTGTGACAAAAGGGAAAGAAACCCCACCAAATTCACATCATTAATTTCCTATGAAAATGGCACAAAAATTGGTATTCAGAATAAATTGTATTTTATTCACTATTTAGAAAGAATGGGTATTTTCATTTTCATTCCACTCTTAAGCATTTTTTTTCTAAACTGTGTAGCATCAAAGGGCCCTAGACATTTTTTATTGTTTTTTTTTTTCTGTTTGTTTTTTTTTTTTTACAAGTTGTGTGGCTATACTTCCCAATCAAGGGAACTTAACACTACTTGACTGTGTGATAAAGATCTACAATCTAATTTGGTTTCTCCAGAATTGAGAAACTTTAGAATTTCTTTAGGGGCATGCATTTTTTAGAAGGGGAAATATTAAGCAACTAACCAGAAAGGCTCAGTTCATATCTAACCACCAAGTTTGAGAAATAGGCTCAGCAAACATCTGTCTTGATAGAGGGACATTCAAATGACACAAACTGCTGTATTCTGAGAAGAAAATTAAAAAAGGAAATCATGAATCACATCACTGCAGGACAGTTAACATCATGTGAATTTCAATTTTGATGTCCAATCTTGCTGCCAAATATTCATTTTAATTAATTTTCATTACCCTCAATGAGTGAGTAGAAAGATAGAAGAAAACCCAAAATCTAATTACATCACATTTGTGTAAGTCACTTATGCTTTCTGGGTGTCTTTTCACTCAAAAACAGATAATAAATGCGTTGATTGTAATGATATCATTAATACTAATGTTTCACGATTTCTTCAAAGCATATTCAACCCAATAGAATTCTAACTATTGTAATATAAGGTTAGGAAAATACTGGAAATATATAATAAATTCTCAGTAACCTTACAATTAATAAAGGGCTCTCTTTCACTTTATTTTGAAAATCACAAGTTCATAAGTGATGAAAGCAGTTAACATTTTAGAGGTTAGCAAGATATGATTGTCAGAATTCTGGTTAATTACAAAGTTACATTCATCACATGACAAAAATAAAAGGAGATCACTATTACAGTGCTAGAAAAGTCAAATATTATGGATAAAGCCATTGCATTAGTTCAAAATTTCATTCATGCAGAGTTGTGGTGAAGAATAATATTTCAGATGTTTTACCCATTTTAAAGTGATGAAGCAAATTTTAACGTTTTACAACTATGTTACCTTCTTTGCAGCAATGCCTCTTTGAAATCCTAGGAATTATAAGAACTCAATAATCTCTTAAGGATTGAAATATGTACAAAATGATAAATTTAGGAAAAGCAAATTCTTCAACTACGTATTTTTACTGAAGGGCAAAAGTCACAAACACTAATTTAAAAACTGAATTTCTTAATTTTATTATTGCCTTATAATATTTTATGCTCAGTCAGAAATTCATATTTACTCTCCATATACAGGTGTTTTACTTTACATTTCATTGAAAAGTTGAGTTTCAACTAGTATTTAAGTCCAGATATCCCTAGACTATTTATTTGGAATAGATTGTAACTAAGAATAAGATGTGGTAGGTCGTGTTTTCCAAGTGAAGCAAATTTGTAGTGGGTGTTTTATTTCTTAGTCATGGATAAATGTCTTGTTAATTTTATCAACAACAAATGCTATCCCTTTATAACAACAAATGCACAGTAGAAGTCTTCAGAAAGTATATATAAATTAGTTAAATAAAAATTTACAGGAAGCAGACATATAATGTATAATTTAGTATATTTTTGAGATCACTGGGATAACTATTTTACAACAAATGATATTTTAAAAAGGCAAGTGCCAACTTCACTGAAAACAGAGTGGGTCAAAAGTCAAAGGTGAAAGAGTGTATCTGTGGATATGAGTGTGTGTGTTGTTTGGGGCCCATGGGAATGGACAAGGGAGCCATTGTCTCTTGTCACCTGCAGGAAGATGACATTGGCTGGCCTTCAGCAGACGGATTTGCTGGTGTGGTTCATGTACTGCCTCTTACAGCTAAAATAACAGTGTCTAAGAAAGGAGAAAAGCAAACTATGTTGTACAGCTCATCTCCAGTGTAGAGTTCCACTCCCCTCATCTAGACATTAATACACCTCTCTATAGATATACTTTTTGTCCATATGAAGCATTGTTTCTTGAGCCACACAATAGATTCATGGGTTTGGATTCTAGCTCATAATAATCATGTTCGGTTCTGATTTATGTGTGACATGAAGGTGATAGTATCACTGTCTTCTGTACTTTGTCATCATCTGTTAATGTGTCATATTGCCAGTGATCCTTAATAAGTATGAGCCACTCAGGAGGATTCTTTTGAGAGAGATCATGCAGTGGCTTAAAATTAAATCATCTTTTTTTCTTGGAATTTGTGGTTATAAAATTCAAATACTTGATTCTTTTGAAACTATCGATACCTTGAGTGACTTCAGTGATTGAGTTTCAAACACCATACCACTCCTGACCAGCTTGGTAGCTTACTCCACGGATACACAGTTCTGTCTACAAAGAGGGTTGATTTTATGTGCTCAGTCTAAAATTATCCTGAGAGTGATACACTTTTAAGTTATTTGTATTAACTATTAAAATTGATTCCGAAAAGTGATAACATTTTTTAAATAAATTATTTTTCTGATAACCAGCATGAGGACTTCAGATTAGTGATGTTGTCAGAGAAAATCAAATAACTTAAAATTAAAACTTATTGTGCATATGAAATTACTACAGGGGATATTTCTTTTACAATTTTTTCCTTTACAAATATTTACAAGATCATACTACATTAACCTTGGGGAAAGTCTCTGAAAATGCAAGTAAAGGTGATTTTTAACTTTTTCTTATTCATCTAAATTTCAAATTTAAATAATTGCCTACTTAAGTTCATAAGAAAAAAACATGATGGATATGGCATTTAAATATTAAAAAAATCTATTCTCTTAATTTTTTTGAGAATGGAGACTGTGAGGTTTCCATGAGAGAATGTGGCCCTAATGTCATCAGCTATCTAATCCAATTGTGACAAACACTGACCATGGAACCACAATGTCATGTGGAGGGATGAAGACCCCTAGACTAATACTGACAGTTGCCATAGAGTTGTTAGTGGAGAAAAACAATAATGACAAAAAGCAAGCAAGCAACAACAACAAAAATCTCCTTAACTTTTAGTTTGCATATTATTTGAGGTAATAAAGTATTGGATGACAATGTATAAATGAAAAGGTGTATGGCAATCAATGGCATGAGTTGCCCAAAAAGAAGTTTTCTGGGTATCATTGGTGATGAGTCCAAGAGGAAGAAAAACAGGTAAAAAAGGAAAGGCGAGCATTTCAAGGTACAAGGGCTTAAGTATTCTGAGACCATGTGCTGTTACCCAGTTCCCACCACATTCTGCTGAGAGACAGGTGGAACTAGGGAACATTCATGGGGTCTGAAACAGGAGGAAAGCACCTCCAGTTGTTTATTGTCTTTGAACAAATTACAACACCCACACATTTCAGTTTTCTTCCAGGGTAACATGAAATGAACCCTTCACTCTGTATGACCTTTAAATTGCTGCTAGGGCTTAAGCCTATTTCAAAAAAATGTGCCGGGATTCTCAAGATTTTTGCACAAAACTTGTTAAACTATTTAAACCTTCTCTGAGAATAACTGTAGAAATGTTTCGAGGTTCACATTCTTGAGTAAGAAAGTATGGACTTGTGGTAGATCTACACACAAAATGAATCTTTCTAATCCATTTACAAAATATGTAGATATGGGGATATCTGTTTCTCTTCACATACTGAGCAACTAACCATTCTCATTGATAACACGACTTTATGGTGAAATTCCAAGGAGATTGCCTACAGAAAGCAATTCCTACATTACTAAAACTGCAGCATACATACCTTCTTTTGTGTTAATTTTTTTCACAAAATGAAAGCAGCACATTTGTTGGTAATTTGTGTTCTATGCTTATGTCAATATATAATATGACTGAATAGTTTTAACTTGAACAAATTACTAGCTGAATACCAGTAAAGAAGGCAGAATCTGCCACACAGAACGGGATCAGAATCTTGGAAAAGTAAGGTCCAAGTATTTTGCTGGTTGTACCAATGAATTCTTTATCATTTTGCTCAAATTGTCCTACTGACTGATCATTTCTCTTTGACTCTATTTCTTCTATTGGTAATTTCCATAAATTTCATAAACTATGAATACCCATAAATTTCCTAGGCTTGACAATTTTTATGTAGCATATCACTTACTTTAAAACTATGAGTACATACTCAAATGATACTTTTTGGGTCTATTTTTGGGACACTGGTAGTCCAAAGATTGTATAACTAATAATTGTAAAAGCAAGTTGTCATTGCACTATTTTGGTAGATAGGTAAATAGATTTGAAGCAGTCATTAACATTATATTTGTACTTTGTGAAATATGAAGAATTAAAGGCCTAAACCTCAGGACCTCTGAATGTATATTGCTCATTTATAGTGGTGTATTAGAATAGTCAAGACTGGACTACAATTTTTTATAATAATGTAATTTCTTTAGCTTGTTTTCACTGTAGCATTAATGGTTATTTTGTAAGTGGTTCCAGTAATCAAAAAAGTTAACTACTCATGCTTTCTTCAAAACAAAGTTTTGTGAGACCTTGACCAAAGAATGAGGGTTAAACATCAATCTTTGTGATGTATATTTAATATCCATTTTAAGGATACCACATGCAATAAATTGGATTGTAAAGTCTACAGCTAATAGTGTGAAGATACTGATTACCCCACTGCTTGTATGTTAGATGAGAGATGTGAATAGTTGGTCATTTTATAAGGAGGATGAATGATTTTCAAACAAAGTTTCCCAGTGAAATCAGAAGAACTGCACACTGGAACTAGTAGTCTAGATACTAGAACAAGGAAAGGTTTAGTTCTAATAAATATGCTTCTCTTCATTTCACATGCTCTATCAAACAGCATCTTCCCTAATATATGAAACAATGGTGTGATTCTGAACCAGCAAAAGGCTCACTCTAGATATCTGTTTTATATTTTATTAAATTCAAATTATGGCAGTGGCCAAACGCTATTGATTCAAAACTATTTCCAACTTGTCTAAGAAAATTATCTGAGTGCCTATTTTTTGTTCAATCACTTAATGAAAGGTGTGTTTTTGTATCAACCCCCACGCCAGCAGAATAGTAAATCAGTGGACCAAGGTCATTTATGCTTTTCTGCATATTTAATGTATTGGTATGTGTTACAAGTCATACTTATAATAGAAGAAAAACACTAGGGTAGAAAAACCAAGCTTGGTTTACTTCTTGAAGAGACTTTCTCATGCATGTCAGCCTTCTTCATCACTGGTGTCTAACAACTGATAGAGATATGGTAACCATCTTACCACTCTGTATAAATCTGAGTGGAAGCCCAATTGAGTCATACTCAGAAGGGGCCAAAAGATGTCTTTGGTGCATAGCAGGCTCTATCTCACGAGAAAGTCACATGTATATTTAAGGTATAATACAACTTCTGAAGTGAGAACAATTGCAAAGTGTAGAGGCATTTTCAGTCAAGAACCTACAGGCTTGGGTGGGCTAACACATGCCCACAGCCATTCTAGTAATTATGGTAGAATGGTTTTATGAGGCTCCAGGAGACAGCTGCAAATATCTTTCCATCTTTGGTTTTTATAGGTTCATCTGTTTGTCTCTTTTATTACAATTAACACTGCCTCATGTTAAGAATATTAGGCTACTATAAATTCTCTTGCTGCTTTCTTAGCAGTTTCAACTTAGCTAAAATTTTTAAATATACTCAGAGGAGTATGCTAGAATAAAGCTCCTAAAAATGTATCATGAAGTATTTTTACAATATTATTCTCACTATGGTGAGATTGGGTTAAAGACTAAGGAGGTACATCTCTCACACTTTTTGTGACTTTGTTTTCAGAAAAAAATTGGCCTAAACTTATGCATGGTTTTCAGTTCCTTCTCAGTGATACTCATTGTTAATGATCAGAACCAAATGTTGAAGTTACTTTATGTGGGTACTTGTTGCCCACCAAAGAGACACAAGAGCAGACTCATAATTAGCAGAATCCCACCGGACTTGCTATCTGTGCTTCTGGCACATTGATAAAGCTGAGATGTGAATCAAGACCCCCTCAGGGCCTTTCCCCATAAGTCCCTTGTAGAAACTTGTGGTCTCCAAGCAACAGCTCGACTCAGTGAGCCAGGGAGAGGCTTGCTCTGATGGCCACACTAGGAACTGTGCTAGAACAGTCTCAGCTCAGAGTTGCTCTGATGTATTTACTAATGGCATTTCTACAGCAGATGCCATGTGTTAAAGAAACTCAGAGGCATTAACCCTGAAAAGTGGGATTCCAGGGAAGACTGCATTCTCTCTCCTCAGAAGGACCCAGTCATTTGCTCTTCTGCTGTGTCAGCAAAATCAACAGGGCATAGTTTGGGTAATTTTCTTTTTATCCCTGAAGGCTTATGATAATTATTTTTCACAGCCACATTAACTCTTATGATTAGTATCTTTATGAGATTTTTCATACCTATTTGAGTGATTTGGGGAGAGTGGGTAGTTACAGTAAGTTCTTATCAAGGAGGGATGCATAACCACTTTTCCTCTGTAGTCATTCACTGAAAGAAGTTGTCAATCTGCTCACAAGCTATGGATAAGGATGAGTGAAATCTTAATGGGGATCAGTGAAAGGCTACCCTTTTAGTAGAACATAGCTCCTAAATGAACATAGAACATTTTGCTATCAAGGAAAAAGTCAGATTTTCTTCTTGTTTGACCTTGGTTCTTGAAACCTGATCTGGATTCCTTGACAGATAATCTAGTTTAGGCACATGACACCAGGTGAGTCAAGCAGAGTAATTTATATTTTCACTCCCTAAATTATGGGCAAACATGTCTATGTTGACCTGAATTAGCCAAACTTTTCCTTTTCAAGTAGAATTTCCCATTTCCCTTCAAACTGAGAAATTTGTCGTATTCTAGAGCTGAAAAATTTTCAAGTGAAACACTCTCTTGTCATCCCAATCAAGTTCAGTACAAAAAATTTAAGCCAAGCAAATTCGGATTCCATAGCAAATGCCAACCCCCTAATGACCCTTGCAAGAATTCATCTGTGCAATTTAAAACACTAACGTCTACTTTTGAGTATCATTTGTTCTTCTCTTAGCTGTAAGATAGCTGAGTTCACTTTAAGTGTAGCTTTGTGTCTTTATCAAACATTTTGGCATCTCTCACTGGAGTTGGAGATTACAGCAATTTCTCAAGTTGCTCAGATGGATAGCCATGGAGAGAAACAGTCAATGACAAGGCAACACCAACCAGACAGACAGCACAACGAACATGCAGGGCAGCGGGCTGGTATCCTTATTTCCAAAAGGCTTCACTCTTGGGTTTCTGCTCATAACGCTCATAGGATCAGAGTGGGCTAGTGTGATTCAATTGCTAGTAGGAAGCCATTTTCATTTTCTAACAGCACTATTTTAAAAGTATCTAGTCAACAAAATTTTAACGCAACAAATTAGTTTCCAATAATTTAAGTGAGCATATCCTGTCACTCTCAGAACATTTGATATATCCTAATCTGTAGATGGATATAGCAATATCACACACACACACACACACACACACACACACACACACACACACACACACACTCGAGCTACCGGGCCCTTCTTAATGGAATATTCTAATTTCACATCCCCTTAATTGTCACCGAGCTTCTTTACATGGAGAGTTAAGATGCCATGTGTAGAGCTTACTTGATTTGTTTCTGTCAAAACTGACAAAGCCACAGAGCTTATGGTGGGTCATCATTATGTTTAAAGACAGGCCCTGTGTCCAAACAGAAGCACACAGCATTAAGGACAAATGTCGGTGACTCCCACCCAGGCACAAACTAGAGTCGGCAAATTTCCCAGTGCCAAGGCTTCTGTTACTGTCAGACACAAAGAATTTTTCTTACTTAAATGAGTGTTCATATTATTGGATTCTTTTTTTTTTTTTTTGTAAAACATAGATTTCCCCCATAGAAATTCAATAAATAAAGGACTTAACCACTGAATCAAGGAAGCAGAACTCCAGTTTTTAACCTTCCAGTTGGGACTAGGCCCTACCAGTGTTAATTTGTACTGCAATTGATCTTCCAGGAGGCACGGGGCGAAATGACCCCATGGCAGGTCCAGGGCAGACTGTTTTGCTGGTCACTGATGGCCTCTGTGTGTCATTGAATGAGGCTGGAGCTATAGCTGAATCCATAGCTGCTGGACCGTGACAATGGTGGCTGAGCCTCTTCGCTCTGTTCTGGAGCATAACTGGGAAATGTCTGTGCCCTGGACATCTTTGATGAGCCAAACCCATGACCTGGAGGGGAGGAAAGGAAAGCTGTACTAAGAAACACATCAGGAGAAGCAAAAGCATCTGTAGAAAACAGAACAAATAAATCTAATCAAAGACTTCAAACCCTTAACATTAAGCTTATAAGAAAAATGGCAAGAATCTAGGCTTTGGTATCTTGATTCTTTTTCTATAACTCAATACTGGGAATTGAATATAGGGCCTCTTACATGCTAGTCAAGGTGTTTATTCCAGCTCTCTTCTTTACTTTTTATTTTGAGACTGAATCTTAGTAAGCTGCCAAGGCAGATCTTGAACTTCTGATCCTCCTCCCTCAGACTCCCAATTAGCTTTGATTACAGTCTGTGCCACCATGTCAGGCTTTATGTCTTGATCTTTGAGTTGAAAACATATTGAGGCATCAGTATTTTTCCCAACTGTATCTTGCCTAAAATCCTGGACATGCAGAGACCTAGGCTAATATTTGAAACTCCCAACCTTCCTCTCTTCAACGTTTGAAATAAAAATAGAAAATCCTTCCCTTGGAAAGGTGTTTCTGACAGAAAGCCTCTTACTTTCTTTCTCTTCCCTTATACTCACTTTCTGCAAACAAAAGCTAATGAAATGCTTTCTTTCAAGCATCTGTGAACAGATAATTTAGATTTTACCTCATCAGTAACAACCAATTACCAAAAAGGTTTTGAAATAATAGGTTAGGGGTTCTGTTTCTCCCCGGAACTTGGTGAGTCCCTGTAACTGATGAATATCTTGGTTTACTAAAGTGATTTAAGAGTTGACTCATATAAAATATACCTCAAGAAAATTCTGCTACGAATTTGGCTGTTTAGCTGCTACTTTGTGATACACAATTGTCTAATGCAAACCAAAGCACTAATGATTGCTTAAAATGTGCCAGGATGTTCACAATGTACAGAGAGAAGTAAATATATATATATATATATATATATATATATACTTTAGAAAAACTTTCCAATAGTTGTCTCAGTCTTTTTATAACCAGTATTCTTTGTGCTTGAGGGTGGTTTGTACCTGATGGAAGGAAGGGTTTAGTGAGACAGAAGAAAAATAGGTCCTGTATGTGCTGCCCTTTCAGAGTTTATATTGTACTCAAGAGATGAAACGCAGTTAATTTGATTTGTGCTTTAGCTGATCTCTTGGGAGAAGAATCCAGAGAACACTATCTGTTAACATAGAATCATGGGACATCCACTGTCACACCCCCTCAGTGGCCCTGTCCTTTGCAATGTCATAGGCTCAAAGCCAGTTTTATTGCCACATGCTTGATGACTCCAAAAATATCCTTGCAGTGTGGAAAGCTTGAGATCCGGGATGAAAACCCATAGGAACTGGGTAATTAAAGGCTAATTAAAACTGGTAGAACTGCCTAAATGTTAAAAAAAAATGTGAGAGAGAAATCTTGCTTTCTAGCAAGAAATTGTTTTAATTTTGTTGTTGGTCTGATTCTCTTGTGGACCAGGGACTGGGAAGAACTAGAAACTAGTTGCTTGAATATCTTGGAGGAAGACAAATGGGGGCATTCTTCTTGTCCTTCTTGGGGTCTCTCTTTTATCAGGTACATTTGAACTTGTTGAACCTTTTGCTTGTACAGTTCTTCCTTATAACTGAATCTACGCTTGGTGTGATACAGTAAGTTGATATACATCGATAGCTACTAAAATGGTCTGAAAGTTGAATGTGGATACTTACACAGTCCTCTACTCCTGTTTTCCTCCTTTAGTGTCTTCCTGCTTTGGGAGAGGGGTTATTACACATGGTTTTATGCATCTGCCTCACTTGTCATTAACTACTTTACCTTTTCCTATTGGTCTCTACATTGTCTCTTCATTAAGTTACTTTAAAATTTCAACTGGATGCATCTGCTCTTTCCTCCTGAGGACTCTGATTATATATATATTTCATATATATATGAAAATGAAACAGAAACAGAAAAGGGGGAGGAGTCAGAGACTTAGGTGGTCAATGGAGGCTGTGTTCAGGAGATGCTGTTAGATGGGGTTATGGAATGGGGTAGAGAGAAGTTAAGGGAGTGTTAAAGGCTAGGGTTGGGATCTCAGAAGAGCCAACACGAGGCATGCACACTGCCTTTGCTACCTTCTTGTTTGTAGTTAACTTTAAGGGATATAACTTTGCTCTGAGTTTCTTGGTTTCTTGATCTGAAATCAGATGATGATAACAAAGGCACTTAACTTATATTGTGGTTTTAAGTGTTAAGTCCCTGAGCTAGCTTGTGCCAAATGTTGTCATCCAATAAAAAATAAAATGTGATTTCTATGGTAGTCTCCATGAGTCTCGCTGTTCCAGGGGGAAGAACTACACTTTCTATTGGTTATATGAACACTAAATATATCAACACATAGGAAGGCATCTGAGACAGTAGGTGTTTCCTAAATGTTAGCTAGAACAGTTAGTGAAGGTCTGTAAGGAGGTAGCATCTTGCCATGATATTGATGCTAAGCTGATGTAGTAAAAAGTACTAAATTTTTTTTTTTTTGGTGATTTTTGTCTCTTTATCTTACCATTGACTAATGAGAACTTACAGCTTTTTTTTTTAATTAGAAACATTGTGTTTATCAGCATATAGCAGCTAGAAAGTCTAGTATTAAGATAAGAACATGTTCTTAGGGCTCATGAGATGGCTCTGTGGTTAAGAGTGTATACTTCTCTTCCAGGGGACCCAAATTCTGTTTCCAGAACTCATGCCAGGGAAATTAAAATTGCCTGTGGCTTCAGTTTCAGAGGACCTGATAACCTCTTAAGGCTTCCAGGGGCAACTGCACTCATGGCCACTTACCTGCCGCCCTCCCCATATATGCATATAATTAAAAACAAAATAGATATTTAAAAAAGAACAGTCTTGGCCTTGATTTAATGCAAATGCTATTAAAATATAAAAATATCTAAAGATGGGTGAAGCATACCTTTGATTCATATTACTCATGGGCTGAAAGTGAAGGCTTAAGTTGAAAATAAAGACTTTTCCTATAAACATGGGATTTTCCTTTTACTTCTATAATATTGAGCATAAAAAGCAGATAATACAATGGACATTTACCAATGTTCTACTTTAAAAAGTCTCCATGAAAGAGCATGTCTGGAGAGGTGGGCCCCGATTTTACAGAGCTGATCAGCTGCCTTGAGGAAGATGGTCAGGCAAGGAGAGCAAACTACAACTACCAAGTAAATGGTTTGCTCTACTAATGCTGAGCAGAACCAGAGGAGAGGTGGATGCTAAAACTACACATATCACTCCAGCACTCCAAACTGCTTCCCCTTCACAGTATGAGTAGTGTGCGTTTCACCACTACAAAGGGCTTCAGAAACAAATGGAATTTTGCTGTACTTTTGTGGTCTCATTGTCCCACATGAGGAGATCATATTCACCATAGGTATTATGGAAATTAAACATGTTTTATACATATGATTGTTGAAAGCCAGCAGAAATGGAAGTTATGTACTTAATGTTCGTTTTCTTCCTTTTGTTCTGCACAGAGTGGGCGCACACTCTTATCATTCTCTGCTCAGCACCCACATTTCCTTACCATCTTAATGTGCAGCCTCTCACTTTGACATGTTTTGAATATTATTCTCTTTCAAGGTCACCAATATTTTTTTAACCTCCTCTGTGAATCATTTCTAGTTTAATTGGAAATTAATTTATGACTTTCTTTTACTTCAACTATTTCTTCAGACAGTTCACAAATTATGCTAATCAACAAAATAACATACCTCAATCAGAACTGAATATGTGAAAGCTGTTTGATAGAGACAATAAATGTGAACAAAGAGAGAAATAATTAAGCCCCTTTTCAGCATTCATTGGAATCATGCCCTTAGGCAGTGTTGATGAAAGCAAAAAAACAACAAAAATAAACTGTGAGGCTTAAATTAAAAACTCAGTGGAATAGACCTGTTCATCCTGTTGACAAGGAGTCTAGTGAAACGCTGTCAGTTTTTCCCCAGTTGGCCATACAGACAGATAAGGTGAATAGACACTCAGAGCATCTGCACAGTGCTACAAATTAAAAGCAACACATCTGCTAACAGTGATAAGTCTATTTAAAAAATACTTTTGAATTTTTCTTTCCCCTCTAGCTGCAGTCATGTCTGCTTTGGTAGAAAATGATGTTTTGTTCAAATGTTCCATGTTTCTATGGTGTTGTTGACTACATTTACTCAGTGGGTTCAAGTACCCTCTGACATGGTAATTGTATGTGCACCCACCAAACCTAATCTGCATAATTTCACTCTAGAAGGAAGATAATAAGTTGGGTGTAGAGTTATTTAGGGCATTTGCTTTATTCTAACAAAATCATTCTGGGAACTGAAGAGCATCACATAACAATAAAGACACAATGAATGCTTGCTTTAAAAGGAAACTTCCCTGCTGGATCTCCAAATGCCCCAACTAGCAATGAACTGGAAAGAGTGCAAATGTGGTAGAAAATGGCAGCCGAGCTGGAGTGCTGTAGCTAAGATTCTTACACAGAGAAGGCGAGAAGAGGGAAGGAAAAAGGGCAGACATCATGCCCTCTTCTCCCAGTAATTAAGAAGTATGCCATCAGCAGTTTTTGCTACACTCCCCAAACTTGACTGACATCTGGTTTTCTACTTTTATTAACCAAATCTATTTTCAATGCAGATTCAAAAGAAAACTGTTTTCATGCAAGCCAGGTTTTTTAAAATATAGAACTCTTGGACACTAGTTGGTAAAAGAAATAGGCCTTGATAAAGACACTTGATAGTTATATGCTTAAAAGATTTGTTAGAATCTAGAAGAGCTGAAAGAGTGTTGTTCTTTTAAATAATAAAACAACATAAAAGTTAATATTACAATAAATGAATTGGGAAAGTTCTTTAAGGAAGGAAACATGTGGAGTAAAAGCATTAATAAAAGTTTAGGCTAGATACTCAGGAGAGATATTGTTTTTAACAAGTACTTTCTAGCCACTAGCACCAAGAGTGAGTAGGCTGCACCCATGCACCTG